TTATACCTGTGAATCGGGTTAATGAGACGCACTTGTAAAAAATAACACTTCTATTCCTTCCAACACTACAGACAGAATCAATAATTGTACACAAGCACTAGAGTACTTCTTAGCGTGGCTTATAAAACTCCAATGGGAAACAGAAGTTATACATGGAATAAAAAAAAATATTAAAAGATATTAATTGCATCTGAAAGAACTACTAATACAGCAGTACTACATACACCAAAACAGACACCAGAACAAGGAACTCACCTGAAACAATTCCTTAGTACATCCTACATCACTTAGTGGCGCATAAACCATTAACAAAATATTACTTGCACCGATGAAAATGCCTTAAGTGCATCCGACAAAATTAAAACAATCACTGAGGAATACAAATCCCGATTTAGTGATACTACACAAGAACATGGATCACTCATAGCCTGTCTGGGATGACCCACAAAATACTATAATCCTAACTGTCCTAACTACCCAGAACCCGAAGGTTGTAACTACTAACCTGCCAAGTGGCAGGCATTCACAAGAAACCGAGAAAATCACTCATGACCCGTCAGGCAGGCGGGTACTCCGCCGATTTCTGATCACCATCACCCACTCATCTACTGGCTCTGGGTCTACCTCCGGCCTATGGTCGAGCGGCAGGTTTGGTTCTCTCCGGTAAAACAGCAAGAATGAGGAAAAACCTCGTCGTGGCGTGTGGGGTCGCATTGTATTTTCTGCAGATGCTCGGGCCACTTATTCTTCTCCTCCTCCTCAAGGGTGGCTAGCAGACCGTGCAGGGTACTATTGAACCGTTCCACCATACCATTTCCCTGTGGGTGATATGCAGACGTCTTGATCTTCTTCACACCAAATGTGGCACAAATTTGTCTGACCAGTCCACTGCCAAAGTTTCTGCCCTGGTCAGTCAGCAACCGCTCAGGGGCACCCATGGCCATGAAGATTTGATTCACCAGGATCTTTGTAATCGTCGAGGCTTTCTGGTCTTTGGTGGGAAAGGCCCAAGTGTATCGACTGTATATGTCAATCATTATCATAATGTTCTCCATTCCTTGCCGCTTGTCAAGCAAGGTGAAATCTACGGCCAGCGTCTCTAGTGGTTTGGTAGCTTCAATTGTCCCTAGATGTAGCTGGGGTTTTGGGACTTCATCCTTTGACACTCCACACCTTTCACAGCTGGCTATGTAGGCCCTCACAGTTGCTCCCATGCCTGACCAGAAACTTCGCCCCTTCACCAGCGACAGAGTACGATCCCGCCCCTGGTGCTCAAACTCATCGTGACAGGTTCTAATCAATGTCTCCTGCAAACTTTGCTGGTAACGCTGGTACCTCCCTCCATAGATTCTTTCCTTCCGGTCTCCTATGCCAGACAACCCTTTCTTTTACGTTCAGGGATTGCTTCACTCGGTACAACCTGCGGAAGTTATCATTTTGGAGCTCTACCTGTACCTCGTCCTTGGGCAGCTCTCCCGCCAACCATCTCCGCATTTCTGTAACACATTTCATGCCTTCTTGCTCCCTACGCAGCCCATCTATCGTCCACAGTTCATTCATTCCTGCCCCGTTCTCCTCTACGACCTGCATAACTGTGTACTCTTCCTCACTATCTTCCTCCTGTTCCGTCGGGATCCTACATAGAGTATCTGCCACCGTGTTGCTTTTTCCCCGTCTTGTACTTGATAGTGAAGTCAAACTGCTCTCGATCAGCATTCCACCTACTTTCCACGGCACCTAGCTTAGCATTGTCTCTGTGACTAAGTGGGTTGTTATCTGTATAGACCGCGAAATGTTTCCCCGTCAAATAATCCCTGAACTTGTCTACTACTGTCCATTTGAGCGCTAACATATCTAACTTACAGAAGCTATAGTTTGTCATATTTCTTTCTGATTTCCTCAGGCCCCGGCTTGCATAGCACACCGGATGCAGCTTGCCGTCCTTCCTCTGGGACAGCACAGCACCTAGCCTACTAGGACTTGCATCTGTCTCTAATATAAACTCCTGAGTGAAATCTGGACAAGCCAACACCGGTGATTGCGTCACCCTGTCTTTCAGCTTCTCGAAAGCCTGTTGTTGCCTCTCTCCCCACTCACTATCCACTCGATCTTTAGAGTTCCCATGCAGCATGGTTCGATTAGGTTAGCTGTACATAAGATTCACTCGAGCAATGGGGGATAATTGTCCCATGGGGGCAATTGTCCTAAAACCCTATTTGGGCAAAACCTTTAACAAACTTCCTATAAAATGATGCAAATCCTACAAAGAACCGCACATCTTTCACCGTCTGAGGAACTGGCCAATCTTTTACTACCCTAATTTTCTCTGGATCAGCTGTGACGCCTTCGGCGGACACCTGATATCCTAAATAGCTTACTTTGGAGGCCATTATCTCTCACTTCTTAGGTTTAGATCTTAGATTATTCTTCCTCATTCTGCAAAACAATTCTCTCAATCAGACTACATGCTGATCTATTGTACTTGAAAACACCATCACATCATCAAGGTATACAAGCTAGCAGCTGTTCCTCCCTTAGGTTTAGGTCATCACTAACACCTGTTTCCCCCTCGGGTTCAGGTCATCACTAGCAGCTGTTCCTCCCTCAGGTTCAGTCATCACTAACATCTGCTCTTTCCTCAGGTTCAGGTCATCACTCACACCTGTTCCTCCCTCAGGTGACCGGTGTTGTGGGTCGGGCTGACCTGCTAGCGGCGGCGTCTTTCCTTACCTCCTTCACTGCCTACCACAGGTGAGAGAGAAAGAGTATTCAGTATATGCTGTAAACATCAGTGTATATGTATTACTAAAAATTATGAAACGTGTTGAAAATAACATAGGAATATTACGTAACAACGATGGGTCTTCAAATTAGTTGTACCAAATATCTTTTAATAAATTTATTAATGTCTTATGCTGAAGTATAGTATTTGTAGCATTAGTTGAATATAATAATAATAATAATAATAATAGTAATAATAATAATAATAATAATAATAATAATAATAATAATAATAATAATAACAATAATAATAACAATAATAATAATATTAACAACAAGTTCAAGGCCGAGTACATAAAGTGAAAGGTAAATGAGTGGGTGACAAATACAATTTTGTCTGATACTGCTAGAACTGTGCCACATACGGTAAACTGCGGCATTCACCTATGGAGTGAAGCAGAGCTTGAACTATTTTTTTTAAGACGGGCATTAGTCCACCCGGGCACAGGTCATTTTATGACCCACATCAAGGCCTGGGGGGCAAAAATATAATATAATAATAATAACAATAATAAAATTAATAAAACTTTATATAAATAATAATAATAATAATAATAATAATAATAATAATAATAATAATAATAATAATAATAAAGAGCCATAATTGAATAAAAAAATAAAAAAGATCAAAAGTGAGAAACAATATATGTATGTTGTGTTATCAAAGTAAGAGAAACAATTGAGACACTGCAATTGTGTGTAAATGAGGCAGAAAGTTAGATTTGCAACCTGGGACTTGGTCACAATTTTTGTGGTGCCATATAGCAGCAGGGTCTACCATTAGACAACACATTATGCTTCCAATATCTTCCAAGGCGGTAGTACCTCCCTGTTTGGTAGCTGCCTACTACCTACTGCGACAACACAACATACATATATCGTTTCTCACTCTTGATTTATTATTATTATTATTATTATTATTATTATTATTATTATTATTATTACAGTGTTGTTATTATTATTGTTGTTGTCATTATTATTTCATTTTATTTATTTAAAAAATTTTATTATAAATTTTATTTCCTATGAATTATTATTACTTATGCGCACAATCTTGATATCAGACCTCTCCTCCACCCTGTTGCTTTTATTTCCATACTTGTGAAAAGTCACCACCTACCCCCAGCAGAACAGTCACTTCTTGCACTACCACCAAGACAGGAAGGAATGGTCTTTACTAATCCAGAGAAGCTTGCTGCCACTGAACATCAGATGTCTGTCAAGCTGACGGCAGCCCTCAATAAACACATAGTAACTCAAAATGCAGCGAGTTCGGTGGATACCAATAGATTATACAACATTTGATGTTCAATTACTACAGAACAGCAGCACAAACAAAATGGAAAAAAAATCAACAACTGTCATTGATATTGAGGAAAAAGTAGTTGTTGTGCAGGAGATGGGCGCCTCAAAATAGGTAACAATGTTACCGATAAGAGGAATTTTCAGGTGCCATTGTTCTATGGTATGACAAGCCAATAGAAGCCTTGCCCGCGCAATGCGTATGTGGCACATCCTACGACATCTACCATACAGTGGTGTGCAAGAAGGGTGGATTCGTATACATGAGGCATAACGAAATAAGGGATCTCACAGCTAATATGCTGAAGGAACTCTGCCACGACATCACGTTGGGACCGACCCTCCTTCCATTGGACAGTGAAAATTTCCATCACAGGGCTACAAACACATTCAACGAAGCCCGTGTGGGCGGCAGTGCTCGAGGATTCTGGACACGGGGGCAGCGAGCCTTTTTTGACGTCCGGATATTCGACCCCATGGTGGTAAGATCTCTCACAGAGGAATCTTCTGGAGGTGTACTGCCAATAAACAGAGATACCTTATAGCAACTGAATAATAAACATCCCCCAGCAAGTGCAGTGGAAGGCATCAGGTTCCAGGGTCCCTCCAGACACTGTCATGTTCGAGAAAAAAGCAGGAGGGATGGTGTGGAAAAGGCACTGAAGACACAGCGAGGGCCAGGCCCTTCAGGCCTGGATACAGACGGGTGGAGAGTCATTCTCAGCACTAACAAGTCTGGCGAAGCAGCAAATGATCTCTGCAATGCCATCGCCGCCCTTGCGAGAAACCTAGCAACATCGTACTGCCATCACCTACAAGCTCTATAGATCTGCCACCTCATCCCCTTGAATAAAATCCCAGGATGCAGGTTAATTGAGGCGGGGGAAATACTGAGACGAATCATTGGAAAATGCATAATGGAGGTGGTCATTGATACTGTCAGGGCAAATGCAGGGAACCTGCAGGTATGTGCTGGCCACCATGTTGGCAGTGAAGCTCTCATTCAGCTATGGGAAAGATATTTGAGCAGCGTGATTATGAGGCAGTACTCCTGGTTGATGCCTACAATGCATTCAACATAATCAACCGCAAGGCTTCACTGCACAACATCAAGATAAAGTGTCCAAGCTTTGCAATGTATGTTGAGAACACCTACAGGAACCCGACAGACTTTCTATATAACAAGAGGAAAAAACACCATACAGTCAACTGAGGGAACTAGCAGGGGAATCAAGTCGCCATGGCAATGTACGCAATAGGTCTTCGTCCTCCAACACACAATAAACTATGCAACAACAAAGGTCAAGCAAGTAGCATATGCTGATGACCATACAGGAGCAGGAAAAGTGAGAACATCACGAGGTCCATAAATAGAGTACCACCCAAATGCCAGCAAGTCCTTCCTCATTGTAAAGCCAGAATACCGTGAACGGGCAATGGAGGTATTCGGAGGAAGTGAGGTCAAAATAACAAAGGACGGCCAAGGACATTTAGGTGCGGTAATCGACACCAACGATTTCAAGACTGATTACGTAACGGGAAAGGTAAATGAGTGGGTGAAGGAAATCCAAGCTCTGTCTGATATTGCTAAAACTGAGTCACATGCAGCGTTTGCGGTATTCACCCATGGAGTCAAGCATCGCTGGAATTATCTGATGCGCATTATCTCCGATATCGGACCCCTCCTCCACCCTTTGGAAGAAGCCATCAAGGTCGCTTTTATCCCAACACTAGAGAAAATTCATTATTCAACCCAAGCAGAAAGGTCGCTCTTTGCATTACCACCGAGACAAGGAGGAACGGGATAGAATAATCCAGAGGAGCTTGCTGCCACCGAACATCAGAACTCTGTCAAGGTCACGGCTGTCGTCACTGACCACATAATAGCTCAATATGCAGCAAGTCAGGTGGCTACCAACGAATTAAAGAAGATTCAACTGTCCATTACTACAGAACGGCAGCACACCCAAAGTGATAAACCTTAACAACTGATGCTGCAATTGTCAGAGAACTTGAAAAAAAGTAGCTATAGCGCAGGAAGTGAGCGCCTCGAACTGGTTAACAGCGTTACCGATGAAGGCAAAAGGATTCAGCCTTCATAAACAAGAATTCACAGATGTAATTGCTCTAAGGCATTGTTGGCCAATAGAAGGTTTGCCCTCCCAATGTGTCTGACTCACCATACAGTACAACATCGATCTCGCCATGGCGTACAAGAAAGGGGGCTCCGTGTGCATGAGGCATGACAAAATAAGGGATCTCACAGCAAAATGTCGAAGAAAATCTGCCATGACGTCTCCGTGGAACCGACTCTTCTATTGGAGGGTGAGAATCTCCATCACAGAACCTCAAACACATCCAACGAAACCCTTGTGGACGTCAATGTTTGAGGATTCTTGACAAGGGGACAATGAGTCTTCTTCAACACCAGGATTTTCGACTCCAAAGCCTCATGTCACCATAACCTGATTCTCGATGCAGAGCACAAGAGGAACAAGAATGACAAGAACAGGGCGTAAGAGGAGAGAATTCAAAATGTGGATCAAGGCAGCGTCACTCCTCTGGTATTCAGAAATTCTGATGAGATGGTACCAAGTGCAAGATGTTTCTACGCAAGATTGGCTGAGGTTTTATCCGAACAGAAGCATCAGCCTCGAATTTAGGTTGCAGCCTGGTTGAGATGTCGACTGTCCTTCTCTCTTCTTAGGTCTGCACTGCTGTGCCTCAGGGGAACGAGATCTTCGGCCCCAAATCCGACAATAGTCACTGAATGGTGTATAGATTTGAGGCTTAACTAACTCAAGACAGCTAGGGTAGCTATTTTTGTATAACATATTTAATTTTCAGGTAATAAAATGGTGGCGAAGGCGTGTCTATTGGGGGAGGCTGGAGGCCACTTAAAAGAGTAGTAGAAGTAGTAGTAGATCTGCTGCTCAACTAACTCAACACAGTTAGGGTAGCTATTTTTGTATTAGGATATTTAATTTTAAGGTAATAAAATGGCGACGAAAGTGTGGCTATTGCGGGAAGCTGGAGGCCATGATAAAAAAGTAGTAAGAGTAGTAGTAGTCAAGCATCGCTGGAACTACCTGATGCGCACTATCCCTGATATCGAACCCCTCCTCCACCCTCTGGAAGAAACTATCAGTGTCAATTTAATTCCCAATTTAGTGAAACATCTTCACTTAACCCCAGCAGAAAGATCACTCCTTGCACTACCACCGAGACTGGGAGGAATGGGATTGTCCAATCCAGAGGAGATTGCTGCCACCGAACATCAAAACTCAGTTAAGATCACGGCAGCCCTCACCAACCACATAATAGCTCAGAATGCAGCAGGTGTCGTGGATACCAGCAAAGTAAACAAAATTTGACGTTCCATTACGACACAATGACAGCACGGCCAAAGTGATAAGTTGCACCAACTGATGCTGCAAGTACCAGAGAATTTGAAAAAAAGTAGCTATAGCACAGGAGGTGGGCGCCTCGAACTGGTTAACTACGTTACCAATAAGGGCAAATGGTTTCAGTCTTAATAAACAAGAATTTACAGATGCCATTGCTCTAAGGTACGGTAGGCCAGTAGAAAGTTTGCCCTCCCAGTGCGTGTGTGGCTCTTCCTATAACGTCGATCACGCCATGGTGTCCAAGAAAGGGGGTTTCATATGTATGAGGCATGACGAAGTAAGGGATCTCACAGCAAATATGTTGAAGGAAATCTACCGTGATGTCAGGGTAGAAGAGGCCCTCCTTCCATTGGACGACATAGGACTTCAAACACATCCAACGACGCCCGTGTTGACGTCAGTGCTTGAGGATTCTGGACGCGGGGACAGTGAGCCTTCTTCGACATCAGGATTTTTTATCCAGTGGCTGCATGTCACCATAACTTAGCTCTCGATGCTGCACACAGGAGGAACGAGAACGACAAGATAAGGGAATACGGGGAGAGAATTCAGAACGTTGATCAAGGCAGCTTCACTCCTCTAGTGTTCACAACCTCTGGTGGGATGGGACCAAGTGCAAGATGCTTCTATGCCAGACTCCCGGAGGTGATATCCGAACAGAAGCAGCAGCCCAGAAGTTATGTTACAGCCTGGATGAGATGTCAACTGTCCTTCTTTCTCCTTCGGTCGGCTTTGCTCTGCCACAGGGGAACGAGAGCATCGGCCCCAAAGCCGACATCAATTGCAGATATTGACTATGAGACTACAGTCACTGAATGTCGCATAGATCTGCTGCTCAACTAACTCATCACAGCTAGGATAGCTACTTAGGTATTAGGATATTTAATTTTAAGATAATAAAATGGTGACGAAGGTGTGGCTATTGCGGGAGGCTGGAGGCCATTTTTTAAAAACAAAATAGTAATAGTAGTAGTAGTAGTAGTAGTAATAGAAATTAACGTCAACGTAGTAATGACATCTATCGATCCAGATCACTGAGACCTTCAAGCAGTGGTGGTGAGCGAGCGTGGGTGTGGTGGGCAGGGTTGTGGGCGTGTGTGGGCGTGTTATGTAAGGAACACGCCCTGACCGTTGTGGGCGTCTGTGTGGTCTGGGACCTGATCATTAACGCTTCAACCCTAAAAAGGCAAGTACGATAAATTATTGTTAATGTAACCTATCTATCTATCTATCTATCTATCTATCTGTGTGTGTGTGTGTGTGTGTGTCTATCTATCTGTCTACCATTAAAAGGTGATTTACAAGATATCTGTATACATTTCTCTCTCTCTCTCTCTCTCTCTCTCTCTCTCTCAGACTACTAACTCTATTACATATCTTGACAGGTGTATCAAGGGCAGGGTGGAGATGTGTGTTGTTCTGCCTCTGTGTCGTAGGATAAGTAAAAGCCTTTGTATGGTAAGTGAAGCTAAGTGTTCACTATTTGTCAATACATCATCATCATCATCATCATCATCATCATCATCATCATCATTATTATTAGCAGTAGTATTAGCTCTTCATCTTAGCCACTCACTTATATACTATGTAAACGCCTGCAAATTAAAAAATAAGTATGGTGTATTCATCTGCCAGGGTGTGGTGGTGGCGATGTTGCGTCTGGCGATGATGACGTCCTCTCCAGTGTTCTCTGACCAGGACAACCCTGCCTCCTTCACCAAGAGTGCTGTCACCAGGTAGAGAGAGAGAGAGAGAGAGAGAGAGAGAGAGAGAGAGAGAGAGAGAGAGAGAGAGAGAGAGAGAGAGAGAAGCGGATGTAAAGGAGTTGAATAGACAAAAAAGATAGATTGAGAAAGAGAGCCAGTCAGGGGAAGTATGGACTAATGTGGATACAGAATGGGTGACAAAAAAGTGAAGGCGACTCAAAGAGAAGAAGATATAGAGATAAAGACATATTTATAGACAGACAGATATAAAGAGACAGACATACAAGAGACAGACAGAAACAGAGTGAGTAAGATGGACAAGAAAACAGTTTGAACAAAGAAACCAAAAGATAAGCAGAAAGACTGAAAGTGATGCAGATAAACAACAGACAGACAGACAGACAGGCAGACAGACAGACAGACAGAAATAAGGAATGATTTCAAACACAAACAGCCTCTTTGTCTCAGATGAATTTCTCTCACATCAGGACTTTCATCATCTCCTGGACCAATAAGACAAGACTTAACTCATCTCCTGAACCAATAAGACAAGACTTTACTCACCTCCTGGACCAATAAGACAAGACTTTACTCACCTCCTAAACCAATAAGACGAGACTTTACTCAACTTCTGAACCAATAAGACAAGACTTTACTCATCTCCAGGACCAATAAGAAAAAGACTTTACTCACCTCCTGGACCAATAAGACAAGACTTTATTCACCTCCTGGACCAATAAGACAAGACTTTACTCACCTCCTGGACCAATAAGACAAGACTTTACTCATCTCCTGAACCAATAAGACAAGACTTTACTCACCTCCTGAACCAATAAGACAAGACTTTACTCACCTCCTGGACCATTTAGACAAGACTTTACTAATCTCCTGCACCAATAAGACAAGACTTTACTCATCTCCTAAACCAATAAGACAAGACTTTACTCATCTCCTAAACCAATAAGACAAGACTTTACTCACCTCCTGGACCAATAAGACAAGACTTTACTCATCTCCTAAACCAATAAGACAAGACTTTACTCACCTCCTGAACCAATAAGACAAGACTTTACTCATCTCCTAAACCAATAAGACAAGACTTTACTCACCTCCTGGACCAATAAGACAAGACTTTACTCACCTCCTGAACCAATAAGACAATACTTTACTCATCTCCTGAACCAATAAGACAAGACTTTACTCACCTCCTGGACCAATAAGACAAGACTTTACTCACTTCCTGGACAATTTAGACAAGATTTTACTCATCTCCTCGACCAATAAACAAGACTTTACTCATCTCCTGGACCAATAAGACAACACTTTACTCACCACCTGAACCAATAACACAAGACTTTACTCATCTCCTGAACCAATAAGACAAGACTTTACTCACCTCCTGGACAATTTAGACAAGACTTTACTCATCTCCTCGACCAATAAGACAAGACTTTACTCATCTCCTGAACCAATAAGACAACACTTTACTCACCTCCTGGACCAATAAGACAAGACTTTACTCATCTCCTGAAAAATTAAGACAAGATTATACTCACATACTGCACCATTAAAACAAGACTTTACTTACCCCCTGAACCAATAAGACAAGTCTTTACTCATCTCCTGGACCATTTAGGCAAGACTTTACTCACCTCCTGAACCAATAAGACAAGACTTTACTCACCTTCTAGACCATTTAGACAAGTCTTTACTCACCCCCTGGACCATTTAGACAAGACTTTGCTCACCTCCTGAACCAATAAGACAAGACTTTACTCATCTCCTGAACCAATAAGACAAGACTTTACTCACCTCCTGGACCAATAAGACAAGACTTTACTCATCTCCTGACCAATTTGACAAGACTTTACTCATCTCCTGAAACAATAAGACAAGACTTTACTCACCTCCTGAACCAATAAGACAAGACTTTACTCACCTCCTGAACCAATAAGGCAAGACTTTACTCACCTCCTGGACCAATAAGACAAGACTTTACTCATCTCCTGGACCAATAAGACAACACTTTTCTCACCTCCTGGAACAATAAGACAAGATTATACTCACCTCCTGGATAATTTAGGCAAGACTTTACTCACCTCTTGAACAAATAAGACAAGATTTACTCACCTCCTGGACCAATAGGACAACACTTTACTCACCTCCTGGACCAATAAGACAAAACTTTACTCACCCCCTGGACCAATAAGACAAGACTTTACTCATCTCCTGAACCAATAAGACAAGACTTTACTCATCTCCTGAACCAATAAGACAAGACTTTACTCATCTCCTGAACCAATAAGACAAGTTTTTACTCACCCCCCTGAACCATTTAGACAACACTTTACTCACCTCCTGACCCTATAAGACAAGACTTTACTCACCTCCTGGACCAATAAGACAAGACTTTACTCATCTCCTGAACCAATAAGACAAGACTTTACTCACCTCCCACCATTTAGACAAGACTTACTCATCTCCTTCTGCAACTAATAAGACAAGACTTACTCTCATCTCCTGACCAATAAGACGAGACTTTATCACTTACCTGGACCAATAAGACAAGACTTTTACTCATCTCCTGACCATTTTAGACAAGACTTTACTCACCACCTGAACCAATAAACAAGACTTTACTCACCTCCTGAACCAATAAGACAAGACTTTACTCACCTCCTGAACCTATAAGACAAGACTTTACTCATCTCCTGGACCATTTAGACAAGACTTTACTCACCTCCTGAACCAATAAGACAAGACTTTACTCACCTCCTGGACCATTTAGACAAGACTTTACTCACCTCCTGAACCAATAAGACAAGACTTTACTCATCTCCTGGACCATTTAGACAAGACTTTACTCACCTCCTGAACCAATAAGACAAGACTTTACTCATCTCCTGGACCATTTAGACAAGACTTTACTCACCTCCTGGACCATTTAGACAAGACTTTACTCACCTCCTGAACCTATAAGACAAGACTTTACTCATCTCCTGGACCATTTAGACAAGAATTTACTCACCTCCTGAACCAATAAGACAAGACTTTACTCACCTCCTGGACCAATAAGACAAGACTTTACTTACCTCCTGGAACAATAAGATAAGACTTTATTCACCTCCTGAACCAATAAGACAAGATTTTACTCATCTCCTGGACCATTTACACACGACTTTACTCACCTCCTCAACCAATAAGACAAGACTTTACTCACCCCCTGGACCATTTACACACGACTTTACTCACCTTCTAGACCATTTAGACAAGACTTTACTCACCTCCTGAACCTATAAGACAAGACTTTACTCATCTCCTGGACCATTTAGACAAGACTTTACTCACCTCCTCAACCAATAAGACAAGACTTTACTCACCCCTGGACCATTTACACACGACTTTACTCATCTCCTGGGCCAATAAGACAAGACTTTACTCACCCCCTGGACCATTTACACACGACTTTACTCACCTTCTAGACCATTTAGACAAGACTTTACTCACCCCCTGGACCATTTAGACAAGACTTTACCCATCTCCTGGACCAATAAGACAAGACTTTACTCATCTCCTGAACCAATAAGACAAGACTTTACTCACCCCCTTATCCAATAAGACAAGACTTTATTCACCTCTTGGACCATTTACACACGACTTTACTCACCTCCTCAACCAATAAGACATGACTTTACTCACCCCCTGGACCATTTACACACGACTTTCCTCACCTTCTAGACCATTTAGACAAGACTTTACTCACCCCCTGGACCATTTAGACAAGACTTTACCCATCTCCTGGACCAATAAGACAAGACTTTACTCATCTAATGAACCAATAAGACAAGACTTTACTCACCTCCTCAACCAATAAGACAAGACTTTATTCACCTCTTGGACCATTTACACACGACTTTACTCATCTCCTGGACCAATAAGACAAGACTTTACTCACATCCTGGACCAATAAGACAAGACTTTAATCACCTCCTAAACATATAAGACAAGACTTTACTCACCTCCTGGATCATTTAGACAAGACTTTACTCACCTAATGAACCAATAAGACAAGCCTTTACTATCCTCCTGGACAATTTAGACAACACTTTTCTCACCTCCTGGACCAATAAGACAAGACTTTACTCACTTACCTGGACCAATAAGACAAGACTTTACTCATCTCCTAGACCATTCAGACAAGGCTTTAATCACCTCCTGGACCAATAAGACAAGACTTTACTCACTTACCTGGACCAATAAGACAAGACTTTTCTCACCTCCTAAACCAATACGACAAGATTATACTCTCATCCTGCACCAATAAGACAAGACTTTACTCACCTCCTGGACCAATAAGACAAGACTTTACTCACTAACCTGGACCAATAAGACAAGTCTTTTCTCACCTCCTGAACCAATAAGACAACACTTTACTCATCTCCTGAACCAATAAGATAAGACTTTACTCATCTCCTGAACCAATAAGACAAAACTTTTCTCACCTCCTGAAACAATAAGACAACACTTTACTCACCTCTTGCACCAATAAGACAAGACTTAACTCACTTCCTGGACCATTTAGACAAGACTTTACTCAACTCCTGGACCATTTAAACAACACATTACTCATCTCCTGAACCATTAAGACAAGACTTTTCTTACCTCCTGGAACAATAAGACAAGACTAAACTCACCTCCTGAACCAACAAGACAACACTTTACTCATCTCCTGAACCAATAAGACAAGACTTTACTCACCTCCTGAACCAATAAGACAAGACTTTATTCACCTCCTGGACCATTTAGACAAGATTTTACTCATCTCCTGAACCAATAAGATAAGACTTTACTCATCTCCTGGACAAATATGACAACACTTTTCTTACCTCCTGGACCAATAAGACAAGACTTAACTCACCTCGTGGACCATTTAGACAAGACTTTACTCAACTCCTGGACCATTTAAACAACACTTTACTCATCTCCTGAACCATTTAAACAACACTTTACTCATCTCCTGAACCATTAAG